CTGTCATTAACATTATCCACATGAATATTAAAATCACCTGTAATAACTAACTATCAAAATCTGTGCATACAACTGAAAGTAACTCGGTAAAATTATCAATAAAACTGTGACATGACTGCGGTGGCTTGTATAGGACAATGAAGAGTATTGGAGGAGATTGTTTTTGTTGTATTTTAAAAGACACATATTCAAATGACAAAAACTTCCCAAGAGACATTCTATGGTAGACAAAGTGGCCTCTAAAAATGGCAGCTAAACCTCCTCCTTTTTTGTTTTCCCGTATTTCAGATTCAAATTTGAAATTTGGTGGTGAAGCGTCTATTAAAACTGCATTTCCTATCTTTTGGTCAAGCCAAGTTTCAGCCATGAACATAAGATCAAGATTATGAGAACAAATACAATTATTGATTAAAAAAAGACTTGTTACAAAGAGATCTGACATTAAGCGTAGCAAGTTTCAAAGTTTCAGTATCAGCGGTTGTGGTCGGCTGATTCTTACACGGAACAAGAATTAGATTTTCCAGATTAAACTGATTAACTCCAGATGTCTTTCTGTAATGTATTCTTTGTGTTATCACTAAGGGAATGGCACAGGTGGCTTCATGACAGGGCCCCAGCCGGGTCTCTCCTCTAACAAGACCAGAGCTGGTGCTTGCCTTGTTGGGGCCCTAAGCAGAAGTCAGCATAGGGGCCCTATACACCTAACTCAAGAAACCATAAAAATTAAAGCAAGCATAAGTTCCATTACACATATATATTACAAATAAATAATTCACAGTAATCAAGCGATATAAGACTTGATTAGTGATGGATTCAACCGAAGATAAAAAAAACATTTGAACTTTTCACACACAATTAAAGATATGATAAGTAAGACTTTATTGATCTCACTCAGGAGAAATGTTCATGTCACATTTGGCACGGATAGAATAAATTGTGTACAAAAGACAAGTGTACAAACATGTTAAAATACAAAAATTAACAAAATACAAATATTAGCTATAATATAAGTATATATATATAGTAGTAAGTTAGTAAGTTTTTATTTATATACCGCCTTTTCACTGCAGATCTGAGTCTCAAAGCGGTTTACAATTGTTAATTTTGGGCATTTGTCTCTCACTCCACACAGAGATGGGAGCGGGGTCGCCAGTACAGGAAGCGCATGCCAGAACTATTGGACATATTTTTAGTGGTAGGGGAAACCGGAGTACCCGGAGGAAACCTACGCAGACACGGGGAGAACATGCAAACTCCACTCAGAAAGGCCCTGGTCCGACCGGGATTCGAACCCAGGACCTTCTTGCTGAGAGGCGAGAGTGCTATCCACTCAGCCACCGTGCCGAGTGGATATATATATATATATACTATATACACAGACATATATACATTTTATATAAAATAAAAATAATAACTAGTTTCATTATTATCACCACTAGTATTAATATATTACCTTAATATTAATATCTGTAGCGCATTATACAAACACTGTTAGTATTATGTCTAAATTACAAATGTAACAAAATACTTCCGATTATCAAAGGAAGCACGTTTATTTTGAAGGTGTCCACCTTAACCACAACAAAGAGCTTGACTGATGAAGTTGTTTTGGGACTCGTTAAAAGCAGAAATAAAACATGTCAGACACAATATTCAACTTTCTTTGCAGACAGTCAATGCGTCAGGTCGGGAACCACACGTTTTTTTACCCGTCTGTTGTTCCCGCAGTTCGCTGTCTTTTTTCCTTTTTTCATCACTCTGCTTCAGCGTCTCTGCCTCTGCTGTGGCTGTGCGACTGACAACAACAAGGGGGAGGGAGGGGAGGGTTGAAAGTGCGACGTAAGGACGTAACGTATGAGGATCATGGGAGACAGCAAGTGACAACTTTAACAACCAATCAAATGGGTGATTCCGGATATGAAGGGCCTCGTAACAGCACGAGTGAGAGCCCCCGCACTCCGGGGCCCTTCCAGCTGCGGGGCCCTACGCATACTGCGTAGTCTGCGTATAGGAAGCGCCGGCTCTGAACAAGACTGCCAGTGGCTGCGAAGCAGAGACCCTGTGCATCCTAGTGTTTAGAGAAAAGAGGGGAAGGGGAAGGCGGGGGAGGAGGATGGAGAGGTGGGTGGCTTTTGGGTGTTGAACGAGAGGAGCAGGGAGGTGGAGGGGTTTTTGGTGATGGGTTAGGGGCGGGGTGGGCTGAGGAACGAGGGGGAAGTGGGGGTGGAATGGTCATGAGGTTAGGGGAGGGATTGGCTGAGGTGGTTTTTGTAGGTGAATTGGAAACCCTAGGTGGTTTTGGAGGTACATATGGGGAGTGGTATAGAATGTTGGACAGGACTCTAGATCTAGCTAATATCTAGAGTAAAGGAAGCAGATACGGTCTCCACATTCAAGGCCAGGCTTAAAGCACTCTACTTTAATTTAGCATATAGTTAGGCTGTTTGCCTGGATCGGTTTGGCACACCTGGTGTGTAATCCATGAATCTTGGTGCTGTAGCCTAGACTAGCCTAGCCGTGGCTGCTGCTGTCTCGCCTCCTTTCAGATACTCTCGTTCTCTTTATTCAAGGCTAGGTTTAAAACAGTCCTCTTTAGTTTAGCATATGGCTAGGAAGGTAAGACTCAGGGAAGGCTAAACTCCTCAGACTGTCAGTCAAGCTGCATAGGGAGCCCCCTGCTGGAGAAGTATGGTAACTTGAGCACTATCCTCTCCTCCTTCCTACTTTATCTGTTTAGCATTATTAGGATTTTGACTGTAGTTTGTTCATTGCTATTCACCCGTTGTCCCATTGTCTGTTTCATGGTACGATGACAGGATCTCTGAGCCTGGCCTCCTCCATCTACACCTGTGGACTGCCCCGCCCGACCCGCCTGGGAGTGCTTCGGTCCTGCACCGGACCTGTCCACGTTCAGCGGCCACTGGTCCACGTTCTGTAGCTGAGGTCCTGGATCTACAGCCTGTCCGTCCGGAGGAGCGGATCCCTTTCTCAAATGGGTCTCTCTCCCTGTGGGTTTCCCTAGTTCTCCCCAAGGTTTCTCACTTTTTCCCACTGGGTTTTTTAAGAGTTGTTCCTTGTCGATGCAGGAGGGTCTTGTTGGACAGTTAGTGTCCAACAGAAAGGATTGGTGATGATCAGGACACTTTAGCATTCTACAACATGTATGGACATTTTCTTCTGTGTGTGCTTTATATTCTTCATGTGTTTTAACTGTTGATTCTCTGACCTGTGTTGGAGATTTCAATGGTTTTGTTAAGTCTCTGAGATGATGCTGTTGTGACTTAGGGCTATACAAGAATAAATGGTATTGTATTGTATTGCGGATACTTTGCTTACTGACGCAGGCAAAGTCTCAATCCTAATCCTGTTAGATCTGAGTGCTGCCTTTGACACTGTCGACCATGAGATCCTCTTACAGAGACTAGAGGACTGGGTTGGCGTCGCTGGCACCGCCCTAAGTTGGTTTAGGTCTTACCTTGAAGACAGGAAGTACTTTGTGGAGATTGGAAACTGTGTCTCAGATCATATGGCCCTGACCTGTGGAGTACCACAGGGGTCGATCCTGGGACCTCTTCTGTTCAATCTCTACATGCTGCCGTTAGGTCAGTTAATACGCAGAAACAAAGTGTCCTATCACAACTATGCAGACGACACTCAGATCTATGTCTCACTGACTGCAGGAGAACATGGACCAGTGGACTCACTCCTTCACTGTATCCAACAGATCAGTGAGAGCAAAACAACTTCCTTCAGCTAAACGCAGACAAAACTGAAATGATTGTCTTTGGTCCCCAGAAACAAAGAGAGAGCGTCATCTGTCACCTCCAGTCTCTCTCCCTAAAACCTTCAAACAAGGTCAGAAATCTAGGGGTAATACTGGACTCAGACTTAAATTTTAATAGCCACATCAAATCAGTAACATCAGCAGCTTTTTACCATCTAAAAACTGCAGGATCAAAAACATAGTGTCTAAAGCAGACCTGGAGATTCTTATCCATGCATTTGTCTCCAGTAGGTTAGACTACTGCAATGGCCTGCTCACAGGTCTGTCCAAACAGGCTGTAAAACAGCTGCAGTACATTCAAAATGCAGCAGCTCGAGTCCTGACTAGAACCAGGAAGTACGACCATATTAGTCCGGTCCTCAGGTCTCTGCACTGGCTTCCTGTGGCTCAGAGAATAGACTTTAAAACAGCTCTGCTTGTGTACAAGTCTCTCCATGGCCTCGCACCAAAATATATTAGTGACATGTTAGTCCCATATGAACCACAGGGACTGGACTCCTGCTGGGACTCTGAGGAGCACAGGGACTGGACTCCTGCTGGGACTCTGAGGAGCACAGGGACTGGCCTCCTGCTGGGACTCTGAGGAGCACAGGGACTGGACTCCTGTTAGTGCCCAGAGTCAGAACTAAACATGGGGAGGCTGCTTTTCAGATTCATGCTGCTAAAATCTGGAACATTCTTCCTGAAGATGTGAGACAGGCCTCCTCAATGACAATGTTTAAAACCAAGTTAAAAACGGTGCTGTTTAGCTGTGCATACAACTGAGGGATTTTATATTTTTATCTTTCTTTTTAATGTTCTGTGATTATTTATGATTTTAATGCTATCTTGTTCAGCACTTTGAGTTGCCTTGTGTATGAATTGTGCTATACAAATAAACTTGCCTTGCCTTGCCATTGTATTGTATAAGTGTCGTGTGTAGCAAGTGTTGTGTGTAGTAAGTGTTGTGTGTAGTAAGTGTTGTGTGTAGTAAGTGTTACATAAACCTGTGTGAACGGTGGATAAATAACATCTGTTCTGATGTAGAAATGTAAATGAGATAAAACCTTCTTATCACAACAGTGTCCTTGACCGTGAGCAGTCAGAGAGGTTAAAACCAGCTGCAGCTCCCACACTCCTCCTCACTCCTCCACACTCCTCCACAGACCTCCACAGACCTCCACAGACCTCCACAGACCTCCACAGACCTCCACAGACCTCACTCCTCTAGTGGACCATGGGCACGGCTGGTTTCCTGGTGCTGCTGCTGAGTTCCTCTTTTCTCTTTGAGGGGAATTGTTTGGATGATTCTGGACAAAAGTCTGAGTCTTCTGAGCTCTGTCCGTCTGACATTGAGTCAGTGCTGAGACAGATGAGCGCTGCTCTGTCTGCACAGCAGGTGGAGATCAACCATCTTCAGGAGGAGAACAAGGAGAACAAAGTGGAGATCAGACATCTGCAGGAGGAGAACAAGGAGAACAAAGTGGAGATCAGACATCTGCAGGAGGAGAACAAACATCTGCTGCTGGAGAACCAGGGTAAGTATCTTCTGAATCATGTGTTGAACATAGTCTAATGCAGCCATGAATAAGTTGTGTTTCTGTTCCATGTTTATGCATGGACCTTTATTTAACCAGGAAAGTCTCAGAGATTTCAGAATGTCATTTTCAGGGGAGTCCCGGCCCCAACTTGCAGACACCAAGGCCGGATTAGCAACACCAGGGGCCCTGGGCACTGAGACTCACCAGGCCCCGTCTCTAACCTAAATTATATATATATATATATATATATATATATATACTCGCCTTTCCAGAATGAGAAATAAAGCACTGTCATCTCTCTAACAAATTACACAACAACAATGAAATAAAAAAAATCATCACAGCCCAGTGCATGGCTAAGGATTATGACAATAAAGTGTTCACAGAAAAGCACCCAAGCAGAACCTCCACCAGTGCTTCTCAAATGTTACTGACTGAAGATATAACAATGCCATCACATAACACAACTGAGTGCAGGTTGTATTCTGTCACCAAGTCAGCTGCAAAACAACAAATATGCAGCACTATAACTCTCTGCATCACACCACAATGAATTAAGCAAGATACATGTTGTGCAAACAGCATAATAGAATAAGCAAAATACATGTATTATCTGCACAATCATAAGAGTTTATAGTGGCCTACTCACTTCACATAAAGCACAATGGTTCTTACCTTTATAAGTTCTTCTTTCTGGTCTTTTTCTTTGCAAAGTTGCAAATCAAGTCCTCAAAGTCCAGCTCCCTCACCAGCTCAGATTCTATGGCCATTAAGGACAGTGCAGAAAGTCTCTTCTGACCCATAGTTGTCCTGAGTTCGTTTTTTATTCTTTTTAGTTGTGAAAAGGACCTCTCTCCCTCACAGTTGGATACAGGCAGTGTGAGAAAAAGCCTGAGAGCAACAAATACGTTGGGGAATGTTGTCTGGAGTCCATTCCTCTGCACAATCTGCAATAGATTTGCAGGTGTCTTATCTTGCTCAGTGCTGACAAAAGACCTAAACTGGATCAGCTCATCAGATAAAGAATTATCCAAGTCAGATGGATATGAAGATGAGAGAGCATTGGCCCGTTTGAAGAGATCAGTGTCCGCACAGTCCATGTCAAATAGGACACCAAAACGATCATTAATGTCTTTATAAGCATCCAGCCGTTTCTTCAGTCCTGACAGCAAACTGTCAATAATCACATTGAATGTCTCAACTTGAAACTTTTTACTCCCAGTGAGCACCACTTCATTGTCAACTGTCTCATCATCAAAGGTTTTTCTTTTACTCACGCGGTGGGTCTCGGATTGGTAGGCCTGTGTCACACCTGTGATGGCCCGGGCAGATGTCTCAAAGTCACCAAATTGTCCTCTTAGTGATGCAACATAAGTGTGCAGTGACTCCAAAAGCCGCACAGCAGTCATCAGGTCCATCTCTCTCTTCTGTAAGCTATTGCTTGTCAGCTTGAATCGGTGCAGCACAGTGTCCCAAAACATGGTCATGAGCGCGGTCTCCAGCTTCTCAAGCTTGTTACACAGCGCAGCGGCCTCCCGCCTTGTGTCCCGTCGCTCTTCATTGTCCGAGGCTACCATCTGTAAGGAGCTTGCTATTTTAGCATAATTTTCACAAAGAGCTCTGGTGGAGTCTCCTCGGCAGCTCCATCTTGTACAGGAGAGGGATTTTAGCGTCAGTGAGATGTCTGCAGTGAACACCTTATTCCATCGGTGGGTGGAAGCAGAGCAAAACGCATATAGTGATTGAAGGAAGTCAAAGAACTGGCTTGCTCCCCGACAGCTATTTTCCACACTATTCACACCAACCAAGTTCAAAGAATGTGCGGCACAAGGAATGTAATGCATTAGTGGGTTGTTCTTCTTGAGCTGAGCTTGCAATCCATTATATTTCCCTGACATGTTTGATGCATTGTCATAAGCCTGCCCACGGCAGTTAGAAAGATCCAGCCTACAGAGGTAGACACACACGCACACAGACACACATATGTACACACACAGAGACAGACGGGTACAGCCGTGGTCCCGCGGATCACAAAGCAAACTGTGTCAAAGCGATGCTCTGAACTACATCATGGATCTATAATAATAACATGGATCTATAATAATAACATGGATCTATAATAATAACATAGATCTATAATAATAACATGGATCTATAATAATAACATGGATCTATAATAATAACATGGATCTATAATAATAACATGGATCTATAATAATAACATGGATCTATAATAATAACATGGATCTATAATAATAACATAGATCTATAATAATAACATGGATCTATAATAATAACATGGATCTATAATAATAACATGGATCTATAATAATAACATGGATCTATAATAATAACATGGATCTATAATAATAACATGGATCTATAATAATAACATGGATCTATAATAATAACATGGATCTATAATAATAACATGGATCTATAATAATAACATGGATCTATAATAATAACATAGATCTATAATAATAACATGGATCTATAATAATAACATAGATCTATAATAATAACATGGATCTATAATAATAACATGGATCTATAATAATAACATGGATCTATAATAATAACATGGATCTATGATAATAACATGGATCTATGATAATAACATGGATCTATAATAATAACATGGATCTATAATAATAACATAGATCTATAATAATAACATGGATCTATAATAATAACATGCTCCACGTCTCTGAAGCCTCACGCCACTCGCTGCAGCCGCTTCGGGAGCGAACGTCACCGCACACGGCACCAACACACGCTTTAAAAACTAACTCGCACACACTTTGGAGCTTCCTCCCGTTCCGCACAAACTTGTGCGCGGGTGTTTCATGTTGTTTTCTTTCATTGTTGCTTTAGCTGCTTTACCAACAGCTATCGTAATGCATCATGGGATCACCCTCGCTGGTGCTGGTCCCGGCGGCAACCCCCAAACCCGGTGGTGGACACCGGCAGTAAGGGATGCTGTCAGGCTGAAGAAGGAGTCCTATCGAGCCATGATGGTTCGTGGGACTCCTGAGGCAGCTGTCCAGTACCGGCAGGCCAAGCGTGCCACTGCCCGGGCCGTTGCAGAGGCAAAAACCCGGGACTGGGAGGAGTTCATGGAGCAGGACTAACGGTCGGCCTCAAAGAGATTCTGGCAAACCGTGCGGCGATCGGGGGCGGTGCCAATGGAGTGGCAGACCGGGATGGTGGTCTCTCTCTACAGAAACGGGGATCGGAGGGTGTGTTCCACTCGCACTCCCTAACTCAGTAAGGTCTACTCCAAGGTACTGGAGAGGAGACTACGGCCGATGGTCGAATCTCGGATTCAGGGGGAGCAGTGTGGTTTTTGTCCCGGCCGCGGAACACTGGACCAGCTCTATACTCTCCATCGGATACTCGAGGGTTCATGGGAGATCGCCCAACCTGTCCACATGTGCTTTGTGGATTTGGAGAAGGCGTTCGACCGTGTTCCCCGGGGTGTCCTTTGGGGGGTTCTCCGGGAGTACGGGGTTTGGGGTCCTCTGCTGAGGGCCGTCCGGTCCCTGTATGACTGGAGCCAGAGTTGTGTTCACATCAATGACAGTAAGTCAGACCTGTTCCCGGTGCATGTTAGCCTCCTGGAAGCCTCCCTGGGGAGGTGTTCCGGGCACGTCCCACCTGGAGTAGGCCCCGGGCAAGACCCAGGACACGCTGAAGGGACTATGTCGCTCTCTGGCCTGGGAACGCCTTGGGGTCCCCCCGGACGAGCTGGAGGAAGTGTGTGTGGATAGAGAAGTCTGGGCGTTTCTGCTTAGACTGCTGCCCCCATGATCCGGCAACGGATGAAGCGGAAGAAAATGGATCGATCGATCGATGGTCTCTTTTAGTCTCCTTTACTTCTAGTCTCCTTTAGCCTCCTTTAGTCTGCTTTAGTCTCCATTAGCCTCCTTTAGTCTCCTTTACTTTAGTGTGTTAGAGCGTAGGCCTTGTCCATACAGTCCGACATCCAAGAACACTTTAAGATAAGATAAGATGTGCTTTATTTATCTCACAGAGGAGAAATGTACATGTCACGTTTGGCATGGATAGAACGCTCAGATTGTGCAAAAGGAGGAAATGTGCAAACATGTTACATGGATATATGTACAACAAAAGTGGCAATTTAAAGTGGCAGTCAGGTATAGTGTCACTAGTAGTAGTGCAGGTTTTTTTTTTTTCAGTCTTATACAGTGACTTAAAGTGACTTATTGTACAGTCTGACAGCGGTGGGGATAAAGGCCCTGCGGTAGCGCTCCTTCCTACACTGAGGGTGCCTCAGTCTTCCACTGAAGGAGCTCCTCAGCTCCTCTACAGTCCTGTGCAGTGGGAGGTGTTGTTCATGATGGAGGTGGCTTTGGCTAGCACCCTCCTGTCCCTCACCTCCTCCACAGAGTCCAGGGGCCTCCTGTCCCTCACCTCCTCCACAGAGTCCAGGGGCCTCCTGTCCCTCACCTCCTCCACAGAGTCCAGGGGCCTCCTGTCCCTCACCTCCTCCACAGAGTCCAGGGGCCTCCTGTCCCTCACCTCCTCCACAGAGTCCAGGGGCCTCCTGTCCCTCACCTCCTCCACAGAGTCCAGGGGCCTCCTGTCCCTCACCTCCTCCACAGAGTCCAGGGGCCTCCTGTCCCTCACCTCCTCCACAGAGTCCAGGGGCCTCCTGTCCCTCACCTCCTCCACAGAGTCCAGGGGCCTCCTGTCCCTCACCTCCTCCACAGAGTCCAGGGGCCTCCTGTCCCTCACCTCCTCCACAGAGTCCAGGGAGCAGCCCAGAGTGGAGCTGGCCCTCCTGACCAGCTTGTTCAGTCTGTTTCTGTCCCGCTCGGGGCCCAGCACACGGCAGCGTAGTAAATGGCAGAAGCTACCACAGAGTCATAATACATGCTGCTTTGGGAAAGGAGAGAGAGGAGAGAGAGGAGAGAGAGAGAGAGGAGAGAGAGAGGAGAGAGAGGAGAGAGAGAGAGGAGAGAGAGAGAGAGGAGAGAGAGAGAAGAGAGAGAGAGAGAGAGAGAGAAAAGAGAGAGGAGAGAGAGAAAAAACAATAGATTGGTTTAATTTTTTAATCTTCTTTTCCAAATCAACAATCCTAGTTTGTGATTTGAACCCTACAAATATAAACAGACAAAAAATACTAAAGAATGATTTTATTATTCTCCTGCTTTTTATAATTATATAATATTTATATTTATAATGATGTCATAGATTCCCACCTCTACACCTTCTCCACCGACTCCCACTGATGACTGCTGTCGTTGTGTCCTTGGGCAAGACACTTAACCCCACTTTGCCCAAAGCCCCCACTGAAAGATCAAGGCTATGCTCACAGTCAGAGAGCAGCTGTCCTCCTGTGGACTCACCACCTGCAGAGGGTCAGTGAGGGGCTGGTGCTATGAGACTTGGGTGGCATCTCTGACTGCCACCCCCCTGACCCAGAAATGGATTAAAGGGTAGAAAATGGATGGATGGATGATGTCATAGTAATATTTATAATGATGTCATAGTAATATTTTTATTCAGACTGTTCAGTGCAGGAGATCTGAAGTTCCTCTGGTTTAGAAGAAGTGTTGGTTTCACCTCTGGTTCCACCTCTGGTTCCAACCCTGGTTCCACCTCTGGTTCCACCCCTGGTTCCAACCCTGGTTCCACCTCTGGTTCCACCTCTGGTTCCTCTGTTGCAGTGAGGCAGGTGGCCTTCTCTACAGCTCTGATGGAGTCTGGAGGAGGTCAGTTCTTTGGTCCTTATAGCACTGACACTACACTGGTCTACAAACATGTGATCACCAACACTGGGAACGCCTACAACCCACTCACAGGTGTGTACTGTTGTGTGTATTTTTGTGTGTCATGTGTGTAATGTGTGTATTGTTGTGTGTGATGTGTGTATTGTTGTGTGTCTGCTGCAGGGATCTTCACAGCCCCAGTCAGAGGAGTGTACCACTTCCATGTTCATATTTTTGAACTCTTTACTGGAAGTTACTTTGCGAGAGTTTCTCTGGTGAAGAATGGATCTAAGATGGTCACAGCCCAGGAGCACCAGTCAACCAGATCCAACGGCGCCGCGTCCAACTCCGTGTCTGTGCTGCTGGAGGCCGGAGATGAGGTTTATGTGGTTCTCTGGAGCAGCCATCGTATTTTTGACGACACGAATCACTACAACACGTTCAGTGGTCACCTGCTGTTCACGTCTGACCTGTGACCTCTGACCTGTGACCTCTGACCTGTGACTTCTGACCTGTGACCTCTGACCTGTGACTTCTGACCTGTGACCTCTGACCTGTGACCTCTGACTTCTGACCTGTGACCTGTGACCTCTGACCTCAAACACAGCATTAAAGGCTCTGCTCTGTATTATCTTTGTTTCATTCTTTGTTTGACTGAAACAGTTCCTGTCAATCAACTTTTTTTGACACATGTCGCCTCAGGGGGCGGGGCCAGGAGGGAGTACACAAATACAGCTGATAAATATACAACAATAACAACCACACAGACACACAGATACTCACAGAGACACACAAACTAGAAACTTCCCACAGTCACTTCATCAAAAATAAATCAGGACATCCCCAGTGAAGGCTGAAACTTAACATAAGCCCATGGCCTGTTACACATGTGTTCTTTTCTCATTTATGAATCCAAGTTGCTTTTTTCTAAATTAAATAAATAATCAACTACAGCACAAGCTCTACACATCAGAGTGCCCCCCCCCCCCCCCCCCTTCAGATCTCAGAGATGAAACTAACCCTAAATCTACAAACGTTATAAATATAATAATAGTTTTTACAAGATCCTCAGACCGTCTTTGAGAAAGTGCAAAGTTCTGCGTAACATTTGTTCAGACCGATGGCCGTGTTATTATTAGGTGCCGCTCAATTGGCCGGAGTAATGTTGCATAGACAACAACAGGCGCCGTGATTGGACGATCTGTCATCACCTCCGGCCCCGAGGTGACACTGGCCACGCCCCCTCATTATCACAGATGTATAACTGTATAACTGGAAACTTAAAGGAGACGTTTAAGTGTTTGTGTGTGTGCGTTTGTGTGTCTTGTCTATGTGTGTCTGTGGGTGTGCAGTAATTAATGACTTCCCCAGAGGGCCTGGGCTAAAATTAGGCTTGTATAGGGGTGGGAGAACCACACTGTCTAAACGGTGACGTATGTACCCGGTACATACTACGACTCTCCCCGGGAAAGAGTGCATCAAAACCGGCCTTATATTGAGCCAGGGCTGGTCTGAGACCCAGGGCGCATTTCCCAAGAGTCTCCCCGGGGAAAATGCATGAAAACCGAGCTTAAATACAGCCCTGACCGGTCAGAGAACCAGAGAGCAAGTCCCACGAGTCTGCCCGTGAAATAGCGTCAAAAACCGGGCTTAAATACAGCCCTGGCTGGCCTGAGACCCAGGGTGCATTTCTTACGAGTCTCCTCGTGAAATAGCATAAAAAACCAGGCTTAAAGGCGCTATACCCGTTTCTGTAAGGTTTGAATGTTTAGCCCCGCCCTCCAACTCGCTCAATGGCTTCTCTTTTCCCTACGCTCTCACAACACAGAGCCATCTAGCTCAATTTGCGATCTGACATGTATGCTAACATTAGCATTAGCACAACTTCTTGTAAGCTGTACAACAATCACTGATGAAATGGTGCTAAAACAACGCACTGCTAACACAATATATAAGTAAAAGAATACTGCTAGTTTCGCATCAAAATGTATTCATTAAAACATTAGAATATATTTGAATATTTAATTATAATTTATTATACAGCTCCTCACAGCAGCAGCAGAACACTCCATTGACTTGAATGTAATTCTACCGATCATTTTTTCTTGATAACAGAACTCTCAAATCAATAATGACCGCTGCCCTTTGGCAACGCAATCTCTGTTTGTAATTCAGGTGTGTAAAATACTGCCATTACTCTGCAAGTACAACGAGAGAAGCTAGCGGAGCTAGCCACGCTCAATAAACAACTACATATCTATCAATCAACACCATTAAATGTGAATCGGACAATACAGTATACATATACATCCTTAACACACATGCACGGACCATTTCAGAATTTCTTGTTATTGTTTTCATGACCAAATTACTATTTTAATGTGACAAAAAGCGATCGCGAAAAACCCGGAAGTTACCATTATAATGTAGTTCCAGGGAGCTAGCTAGCTTAGCTGTTACCTGCCTAGCACGTCCCGGTGGAACCTTTGGGAGCTAACTATTTTATTTGCATTTATTGAATAAATTTCGAATTATAAGGGTTATCTAATATGTGTTCGAATATATATATGTTTTTTTAATTTTAGAATTATATTCGAATTTCGAAGCCGAAGCCCTAGTGTTAAGCAGCGCTGTAGAGGCTAGAGGACACAGGCTGTAGAGACTAGAGGACGCAGGCTGTAGAAACTAGAGGACGCAGGCTGTAGAGACTAGAGGACACAGGCTGTAGAGACTAGAGGACACAGGCTGTAGAGACTAGAGGACACAGGCTGTAGAGACTAGAGGACACAGGCTGTAGAGACTAGAGGACACAGGCTGTAGAGACTAGAGGACACAGGCTGTAGAGACTAGAGGACACAGGCTGTAGAGACTAGAGGACACAGGCTGTAGAGACTAGAGGACACAGGCTGTAGAGACTAGAGGACACAGGCTGTAGAGACTAGAGGACACAGGCTGTAGAGACTAGAGGACACAGGCTGTAGAGACTAGAGGACACAGGCTGTAGAGACTAGAGGACACAGGCTGTAGAGACTAGAGGACACAGGCTGTAGAGACTAGAGGACGCAGGCTGTAGAGACTAGAGGACACAGGCTGTAGAGACTAGAGGACACAGGCTGTAGAGACTAGAGGACACAGGCTGTAGAGACTAGAGGACACAGGCTGTAGAGGCTAGAGGACACAGGCTGTAGAGACTAGAGGACACAGGCTGTAGAGACTAGAGGACACAGGCTGTAGAGGCTAGAGGACACAGGCTGTAGAGACTAGAGGACACAGGCTGTAGAGACTAGAGGACGCAGGCTGTAGAGACTAGAGGACACAGGCTGTAGAGACTAGAGGACACAGGCTGTAGAGACTAGAGGACACAGGCTGTAGAGACTAGAGGACACAGGCTGTAGAGACTAGAGGACACAGGCTGTAGAGGCTAGAGGACGCAGGCTGTAGAGACTAGAGGACACAGGCTGTAGAGACTAGAGGACACAGGCTGTAGAGACTAGAGGACACAGGCTGTAGAGGCTAGAGGACACAGGCTGTAGAGACTAGAGGACACAGGCTGTAGAGACTAGAGGACGCAGGCTGTAGAGACTAGAGGACACAGGCTGTAGAGACTAGAGGACACAGGCTGTAGAGACTAGAGGACACAGGCTGTAGAGACTAGAGGACACAGGCTGTAGAGACTAGAGGACACAGGCTGTAGAGACTAGAGGACACAGGCTGTAGAGACTAGAGGACACAGGCTGTAGAGGCTAGAGGACGCAGGCTGTAGAGACTAGAGGACACAGGCTGTAGAGACTAGAGGACGCAGGCTGTAGAGACTAGAGGACACAGGCTGTAGAGACTAGAGGACACAGGCTGTAGAGACTAGAGGACACAGGCTGTAGAGACTAGAGGACACAGGCTGTAGAGGCTAGAGGACACAGGCTGTAGAGACTAAAGGACACAGGCTGTAGAGACTAGAGGACACAGGCTGTAGAGACTAGAGGACACAGGCTGTAGAGACTAGAGGACACAGGCTGTAGAGACTAGAGGACACAGGCTGTAGAGGCTAGAGGACACAGGCTGTAGAGACTAGAGGACACAGGCTGTAGAGGCTAGAGGACACAGGCTGTAGAGACTAGAGGACGCAGGCTGTAGAGACTAGAGGACACAGGCTGTAGAGACTAGAGGACACAGGCTGTAGAGACTAGAGGACACAGGCTGTAGAGACCAGAAGACACAGGCTGTAGAGACTAGAGGACACAGGCTGTTCACTGCTCGTTCTGTGATTGGAGGAGAACGTCCCGCTCAGACTCTACTCAGCACTTTTCACTGCTTGTATTTCTTACACCGCTGAATCAATGACCTCAAGTTTTCAATTAAAGTACGGATTATAATACAACTTGTATGTAGTAATAAGCATTTTTATCAACTACTTAGAAAAAAAATCGGGTATAGCTTCTTTAAATACAGCCCTGGCTGGCCTGAGACCCAGGGCGCATTTCCCAAGAGGGAAACCCGGGGACCCGCTCTAAGCCCCCCTCCCCGGGCTAAAGACCTCGGGGCGCGCTCGGAAAAACTTGGTGTTCCTGCGACTACATGGAAAATAATTCTAAGTGACACTTAGTATTTTGAAGTCTGAATGTAGTCCTAGGCACACTTTTCAAAATATGAACGTAGTCCCAGGTACACCGAGTTTTGCCGAGTGCGCCTGGAGGTGTGTAGTCCGGGGAGGGGGGCTTAAGAGCGGGTACCCACAGCCGGATTTGGAGCCCTGTCCTTGGGGTGAATTCCTCCAGGGATCCCCGCCGTTTCTGGGGGTGTCTTTGGCTCTATCACAGCCTAGAGATCCACTGTGGCCCCCCCCCCCCCCCCCCACGCAGGTTCGAATCTGCTTTTGGGTTGTTTTTCCCGGGGTGAATTCCTCCAAAGATTCCCCCGTGTGAGGACTATTTTCAATTCTGCTTCAAGCTCCAGGCCTCTCATGGCTCTATCACAGCCGGATTTGGAGCTCTGTCCTTGGGGTAAATTCCTCCAGGGATCCCCGCCGTTTCTGGGGCCTGCCAAGGCTCTTTATAAGGCCGGTTTTTGGCGCTATTTCCCGGGGAGACTCTTGGGAAATGCTCCCTGGGTCTCAAGCCAGCCTGGGCTCTTTATATTGCCGGTTTTCATGCGCTCTCTCCCGGAGAGAAATGCGCCCACCCCAGCCTTTTTTGAGAATGTTTGTGTGTGTGTGCGTGTATGCGTGTATATATGTGTGTGTGTATATATGTGTGTGTGTGTGTGCGTGCATAAGCGTGTGTATGTGTATATGTGTTTGTGTCCATGTGTGTATAAGTAAGTGTGTGTGTCGTCCGTGCGTGTGTGTGTATAAGTGTTTCAACCTGGAGAGACTACAAGAGACGAGATGCGTTTAAGAGTTGTTTATTTTATGGATTGAGTTTGTTTATTGGTTTGGAGCTTAGGCCCCGGCTGTGGCCGTGCTCTGAAGAGATCTGCGCCTGGGGGCAGATCATGATCCCCCGGGGCCTAGACACTGGTGGTGGCAACAAGGCAAGGTGAATGTGAGAGTGAAGAAATCCTGAGGCGGAGGTGGGGAGGAGGTGGTTGCAGCTTGAAGTCCGTTTGGTGAGCTGTGCTCTGCTTTGCTCTTAAACGCTGGCTTGATTGACACGGCTGCGGGGAGTTGATTAGACAGGCTGAGTAAGGCGTGGTCAAGCCTGGTGTGATAACGTAGGTAGTCTACCATACTGAACCTCCGCTTAAGCTGCATTTCAACCTGGAGAGACTACAAGAGACGAGATACGTTTTAAGAGTTGTTTATTTTATGGATTGAGTTTGTTTATTGGTTTGGAGCTTAGGCCCCGCCTGTGTGGTCGTATGCTGGTTTAGCAGGACTCGAGCTGGGTTGATTTGAAAGTACGCAGCCAGTTTGGAAGACCTGTGCGCAGGCATTGCAGTAGTCTAACCTATGGAGACAAATTCATGGATATGATCTCAGTCTGTTAGACACTATGTTTTTGGATCCTGTGCATGTTTTATAGATGTAAAAAGCTGCTGATGTTACTGATTTGGATGTGGCTCTTAAAATTTAAGTCTGAGTCCAGTATTACCTAGATTTCTGATTGTTTGAGGTTTTAGGGAGAGAGACTGTAGTGACAGATGACGCTCTCTCTTGTTTTGGGGACCAAAGCCAATCATTTAGTGTTTGTCTGCGTTAGCTGAAGAGTTGTTTTGCATCATCACTGTCTGTGGGATAACAGTGAAGGAGTGAGTCCATGGTCATGTTATCCTGCAGTCAGTGAGACATAGATATGATGTTTGTTTGCATAGATGATGATAGGACACTTTGTTTCTGCGTATTAACTAATGATGTCATAGATTCCCACCTCTACACCTTCTCCACCGACTCCCACTGATGACTGCTGTCGTTGTGTCCTTGGGCAAGACACTTAAACCCCACTTTGCCCAAAGCTCCCACTGAAAGATCAAGGCTATGCTCACACTCAGAGAGCAGCCGTCCTCCTGTGGACTCACCACCTGCAGAGGGTCAGTGAGGGGCTGGTGCTATGAGACTTGGGTGGCATCTCTGACTGCCACCCCCCTGACCCAGAAATGGATTAAAGGGAAGAAAATGGATGGATGGATGATGTCATAGTAATATTTATAATGATGTCATAGTAATGTTTATATTCAGACTGTTCAGTGCAGGAGATCTGAAGTTCTTCTGGTTTAGAAGAAGTGTTGGTTCCACCACTGGTTCCCCCACCTCTGGTCCCACCTCTGGTCCCACCTCTGGTTCCCCACCTCTGGTTCCACCTCTGGTTCCACCTCTGGTTCCTCTGTTGCAGTGAGGCAGGTGGCCTTCTCTACAGCTCTGATGGAGTCTGGAGGAGGTCAGTGGTTTGGTCCTTATAGCACTGACACTACACTGGTCTACAAACATGTGGTCACCAACACTGGGAACGCCTACAACCCACTCACAGGTGTGTACTGTTGTGTGTATTTTTGTGTGTCATGTGTGTAATGTGTGTATTGTTGTGTGTGATGTGTGTATTGTTGTGTGTCTGCTGCAGGGATCTTCACAGCCCCAGTCAGAGGAGTGTACCACTTCCATGTTCATATTTTTGAACTCTTTACTGGAAGTTACTTTGCGAGAGTTTCTCTGGTGAAGAATGGATCTAAGATGGTCACAGCCCAGGAGCACCAGTCAACCAGATCCAACGGCGCCGCGTCCAACTCCATGTCTGTGCGGCTGGAGGCCGGAGATGAGGTTTATGTGGTTCTCTGGAGCAGCCATCGTATTTTTGACGACACGAATCACTACAACACGTTCAGTGGTCACCTGCTGTTCACCGTCTGACCTGTGACCTCTGACCTGTGACCTCTGACCTGTGACCTCTGACCTGTGACTTCTGACCTGTGACCTCTGACCTCTGACCTGTGACCTCTGACCTCTGACCTCTGACCTCAAACACAGCATTAAAGGCTCTGCTCTGTATTATCTTTGTTTCATTCTTTGTTTGACTGAAACAGTTCCTGTCAATCAACTTTTTTGACACATGTCGCCTCAGGGGGCGGGGCCAGGAGGGAGTACACAAATACAGCTGATAAATATACAACAATAACAACCACACAGACACACAGATACTCACAGAGACACACAAACTAGAAACTTCCCACAGTCACTTCATCAAAAATAAATCAGGACATCCCCAGTGAAGGCTGAAACTTAACATAAGCCCATGGCCTGTTACACATGTGTTCTTTTCTCATTTATGAATCCAAGTTGCTTACACATCAGAGCAATATCCCAGAGTGCCCCCCCCTGCAGATCTCAGAGATGAAAATAACCCTAAATCTACAAACGTTATAAATATAATAATAGTTTTTACAAGATCCTCAGACCGTCTTTGAGAAAGTGCAAAGTTCTGCGTAACATTTGTTCAGACCGATGGCCGTGTTATTATTAGGTGCCGCTCAATTGGCCGGAGTAATGTTGCATAGACAACAACAGGCGCCGTGATTGGACGATCTGTCATCACCTCCGGCCCCGAGGTGACACTGGCCACGCCCCCTCATTATCACAGATGTATAACTGTATAACTGGAAACTTAAAGGAGACATTTAAGTGTTTGTGTGTGCGCGTTTGTGTGTCTTGTCTATGTATGTCTGTGGGTGTGCAGTAATTAATGACTTCCCCAGAGGGCCTGGGCTAAAATTAGGCTTGTATAGGGGTGGGAGAACCACACTGTCTAAACGACCCAGGGGGTACATCTCCCCGGGAAAGAGCGCATCAAAACCGGCCTTATATTGAGCCAGGGCTGGTCTGAGACCCAGGGCGCATTTCCCAAGAGTCTCCCCGGGGAAAATGCATGAAAACCGAGCTTAAATACAGCCCTGACCGGTCAGAGAACCAGAGAGCAAGTCCCACGAGTCTGCCCGTGAAATAGCGTCAAAAACCGGGCTTAAATACAGCCCTGGCTGGCCTGAGACCAGGGTGCATTTCTTACGAGTCTCCTCGTGAAATAGCATAAAAAACCAGGCTTAAAGGCGCTATACCCGTTTCTGTAAGGTTTGAATGTTTAGCACCGCCTCCAACTCGCTCAATGGCTTCTCTTTTCCCTACGCTCTCACAACACAGAGCCATCTAGCTCAATTTGCGATCTGACATGTATGCTAACATTAGCATTAGCACAACTTCTTGTAAGCTGTACAACAATCACAGATGAAATGGTGCTAAAGCAACGCACTGCTAACACAATATATAGGTAAAAGAATACTGCTAGTTTCGCATCAAAATGTATTCATTAAAACATTAGAATATATTTGAATATTTAATTATAATTTATCATACAGCTCCTCGCAGCAGAACACTCCATTGACTTGAATGTAATTCTACTGATCATTTTTTCTTGATAACAGAACTCTCAAATCAATAATGACCGCTGCCCTTTGGCAACGCAATATCTGTTTGTAATTCAGGTGTGTAAAATACTGCCATTACTCTGCAAGTACAACGAGAGAAGCTAGCGGAGCTAGCCACGCTCAATAAACAACTACATATCTATCAATCAACACCATTAAACGTTAATCGGACAATACAGTATACATATACATCCATAACACACATGCACGGACCATTTCAGAATTTCTTGTTATTGTTTTCATGACCAAATTACTATTTTAATGTGACAAAAAGCGATCGCGAAAAACCCGGAAGTTACCATTATAATGTAGTTCCAGGGAGCTAGCTAGCTTAGCTGTTACCTGCCTAGCACGTCCCGGTGGAACCTTTGGGAGCTAACTATTTTATTTGCATTTATTGAATAAATTTCGAATTATAAGGGTTATCTAATATGTGTTCGAATATATATATGTTTTTTTAATTTTAGAATTATATTTGAATTTCGAAGCCGAAGCCCTAGTGTTAAGCAGCGCTGTAGAGACTAGAGGACGCAGGCTGTAGAGACTAGAGGACGCAGGCTGTAGAGACTAGAGGACACAGGCTGTAGAGACTAGAGGACGCAGGCTGTAGAGACTAGAGGACGCAGGCTGTTCGCTGCTCGTTCTGTGATTGGAGGAGAACGTCCCGCTCAGACTCTACTCAGCACTTTTCACTGCTTGTAATTCTTACACAGCTGAATCAATGACCTCAAGTTTTCAATTAAAGTACGGATTATAATACAACTTGTATGTAGTAATAAGCATTTTTATCAACTACTTAGAAAAAAAATCGGGTATAGCTTCTTTAAATACAGCCCTGGCTGGCCTGAGACCCAGGGCGCATTTCCCAAGAGGGAAACCCGGGGACCCGCTCTAAGCCCCCCTCCCCGGGCTAAAGACCTCGGGGCGCGCTCGGAAAAACTTGGTGTTCCTGCGACTACATGGAAAATAATTCTAAGTGACACTTAGTATTTTGAAGTCTGAATGTAGTCCTAGGCACACTTTTCAAAATATGAACGTAGTCCCAGGTACACCGAGTTTTGCCGAGTGCGCCTGGAGGTGTGTAGTCCGGGGAGGGGGGCTTAAGAGCGGGTACCCACAGCCGGATTTGGAGCCCTGTCCTTGGGGTGAATTCCTCCAGGGATCCCCGCCGTTTCTGGGGGTGTCTTTGGCTCTATCACAGCCGGATTTGGAGCTCTGTCCTTGGGGTGAATTCCTCCAGGGATCCCCCCGGATTAGGACTTAAAAATATTTTCATCTTTGATGGATCCCACCCAAGTCCATTTGTTCTGTCATTGGCCCTGGCTGTAGCTGAGTGGTTAAAGAGGTGGACTAGAGATCCACTGTGGTCCCCCCCACGCAGGTTCGAATCTGCTTTTGGGTTGTTTTTCCTCCAAAGATTCCCCCGTGTGAGGACTATTTTCAATTCTGCTTCAAGCTCCAGGCCTCTCATGGCTCTATCACAGCCGGATTTGGAGCTCTGTCCTTGGGGTAAATTCCTCCAGGGATCCCCGCCGTTTCTGGGGCCTGCCAAGGCTCTTTATAAGGCCGGTTTTTGGCGCTATTTCCCGGGGAGACTCTTGGGAAATGCGCCCTGGGTCTCAAGCCAGCCTGGGCTCTTTATATTGCCGGTTTTCATGCGCTCTCTCCCGGAGAGAAATGCGCCCACCCCAGCCTTTTTTGAGAATGTTTGTGTGTGTATGCGTGTATATAAGTGTGTGTGTATATATGTGTGTGTGTGTGTGCGTGCATAAGCGTGTGTATGTGTATATGTGTTTGTGTCCATGTGTGTATAAGTAAGTGTGTGTGTCGTCCGTGCGTGTGTGTGTATAAGTGTTTCAACCTGGAGAGACTACAAGAGACGAGATGCGTTTAAGAGTTGTTTATTTTATGGATTGAGTTTGTTTATTGGTTTGGAGCTTAGGCCCCGGCTGTGGCCGTGCTCTGAAGAGATCTGCGCCTGGGTGCAGATCATGATCCCCCGGGGCCTAGACACTGGTGGTGGCAACAAGGCAAGGTGAATGTGAGAGTGAAGAAATCCTGAGGCGGAGGTGGGGAGGAGGTGGTTGCAGCTTGAAGTCCGTTTGGTGAGCTGTGCTCTGCTTTGCTCTTAAACGCTGGCTTGATTGACACGGCTGCGGGGAGTTGATTAGACAGGCTGAGTAAGGCGTGGTCAAGCCTGGTGTGATAACGTAGGTAGTCTACCATCCTGAACCTCCGCTTAAGCTGCATTTCAACCTGGAGAGACTACAAGAGACGAGATACGTTTAAGAGTTGTTTATTTTATGGATTGAGTTTGTTTATTGGTTTGGAGCTTAGGCCCCGCCTGTGGCCGTGCTCTGAAGAGATGTGCGCCTGGGTGCAGATCATGATCCCCAAAAAGAGAGCTTGGCTAGCGATGCGTTTGCCATGACTTGGTTGCTGCGTTTAGCGTTTTCAGCAACCAAGCGGCTCAAGTGTGCGGCGTAATGTCCGTGCGCGAGCTCGGCTCTAGCGCTAGGCATTGGCACGCGCACGAGCTCGGCTCGAGTGCGCGGCGTAATGTCCGGGCGCGAGCTCGGCTCTAGCGCTAGGCGTTGGCACACGCGCACGAGCTCGGCTCGAGTGCGCGGCATGCTGGAATGAGGAGTTGCCACCACCAGGAGATGCATACGTACTTATATGAGAGGAGGCGCTGGGCTGCCAGAACGGATGAATGTGGTAGAGAACCGGGGACCGAGCTTCTGGAGAGATGATTGAGGGAGTCCCAGGGCAGCAGCCCAAGCGGCTGCTCCTATCCGGAAGGAGTGGCGGATGTAGAGAAAGGAAGAGAGGTTACATGCAGGGAGCAGAGGTTTTGAATATGTTCAGACCAGGGGGTCGTCAAGGGATTGTTTAAGGAGTAATTATAGTCTATGAATGTTGATAAAATGTCCATACATGTTGTAGAATGTTAAAGTATCCTAGATCATCACCACGGGCCTTCTAGTTGGACACTAACTGTCCAGACCCTCCTGCATGGCAAGGAAAACTCACAAAACCCCGTGGGGAAAAAAAGTGAATAACCTTCGGAAGACCCTACATTGAGAGAGGGATCCACTCCACGGACAGACAGGCTAGTCGTCCAGGACCTAAACTACAGAACAAGGACCATTGCCAATACTCCTTTAAGGATCTTCTCATGAGGGTGGAGCAGTGTGACTCGAAGTGGATTTTAGAGAATGTATTTAATGCCGATGTAGATGAGGCAGTGATGGCAGTACCCGCGATGCTGATGTCCAGAGACTGAGAGTGTGCAGTGAGAGGGAAAGGAGAATGCTGAATGAAGGATGAACTGCTGGTGTTTAGAGCGCTGATATTCGAACATGATTCCACTTGGGGAGACTAGAAGGTGAAAATGAGATTCATGAAGTACACTTACCCAGGAAGATTGATGTT